TCAAGAATTGGTAGGAGAAAAAAAAAAAAAAAAAATCACTTGCTTTGTTATTCTAACAATAATTGGTAGTAGCCAGGGCATGGAGGCTGAGGAAATCCACTCTCAATAGTCACAATAAATTGCTTAGGAATAACAATTGAGCAGAATCTATGTGAAGAAAAGTGCAGCCACACCCTGATCCTTGGTGGGAACAATTGCAGCCAAAATTCCACATGATCTGGGGGAAATGTGTCAAAATTCTAAATGTCATCTGGATGAATGAACTGATAAGAATAACTACGATTTTTTTTTTAAAAAAGAATGATTTGGAGAACTTGCCATACCAGATATGAAAAATAGAAAGTTTCAATTAAAATACTGTAACACGTTAGTTCATGAAGAAACCAGATGAATGAAATAGAGTATAATGGCCCAGAAAGGGATTCTCGTATGATATATGATAAAAAGAAGCACAAACTAATAGGGAAAATAAATGTGAAGCAGTTACGATAATGGAAAAATTAGCTGTTTGGGAAAAGTCCAGTTTCATTTATATCTCACAGCATTCATTAAAATAGTTTCAGACAAATTAAAGACTTAACTTCTATTTTTTAAAAAAAATGGACATGTAATAATCTAATGGAACGTGCAGGTGAGTCTGGAGATGCGTTTGTAATGTATAAAAAGCCATGGAGAAAATCACAAAGGAAAAAACTGTGAAGATACAAACTTCTGCACCTCAGAAGTGGTAATAAAATTAGAAACCGAAGGACAATCTGGGGACACATTTGTCATAAATCTGATAACTAACAGCATACTGTTTCTGGTTTATAAAGAACTTGTGCAAGTGATTAAGAAATAAACGCATCCTCGCAGGGGAAAAAACAGGCCTAATTCACAGAAAAGCACCGGGAAGCAAGGACCGCCTTAGGAGTGGGCGCAGGAGTGCCAATAGAAAGGAAAATAGGATGCTGCCGTTACCTTTTACAATAGTTAAGAGGAAATTCTTTTTTAGAAGGGAAAGATGTTACCATTGCCCGCAGATGCATAAATTAAAGCCACCTTTCATTCTGACAATGTAGAAAGATAGTAAGGGCGTTTTAAATGTCTTTAACTTTGACCTAGTAATTCCAGGTCTAGGACTTCATCTCGAGGGAAAAAAAAGGGGGGGGAAAGTGACAGTTTTTTGTACAGTGATGTCCAGTGCAGCGCGATCTGTAAACGCCAGGAGTTAGAAACCATTTACGGTGTCCGAATGGTAAACCGATAGCACCTCCCCGCGGTCCCCCGGTGCACGGAGGCCGCTCTAACCAACCAAGCCGCACGGACCAGGGCTACACAATCACGTTTTTAAAAATAAGGAAAGTAAGCCCTGGTCCCTGTGGCTCGGTTGGTTGGGCGTCGTCTCACGCACCAAAAGGTTGGTCTGATTCCCCATCAGGGCACATGCTGAGGTTGCCAGCTCGATCCCTGGTTTGAGCGCATAGGGAGCGGTCCATAGATGTTTCTCTCTCACGTGGATGTTTCTCTTTCTATCTCCCTCTCCCTTCCTCTCTCTCTCTAAGAAAGTCGATTGAGAACTATATTTCAGCACTAGCTGTTTTGGCTCAGTGGATAGAGTATCAGCCTGCAGACTGAAGGGTCCCAGGCTCGATTCCGGTCAAGAGCCTGTACTTTGGTTGGGGGGTCCTCCCTGGCCCAGGCCCTGGTCGGGGCTCTTGCAGGAGACACCCAATCGATGTGTTTCTCTTCATTGATATTTCTCTGTATTTCCTTCTCTCTAAAAATCAATGGGAAAATATCCTCGGGTGAGGATTTTTTTAAGTATGTTTTTAAAATAATGAAAGTGAACGTCTTCTCAGAGCGTCGCCGTGGTTTCCCACTTCAACAGAGCTCGGACGAACCCGGCGCTCACCTATCCCAGCCAGCCACCCAGACGCAGCCTTCGCCACCTCCTCACAGGGCCTCGGACAGCCCCAAGGCTCCGCCATAGCCACCACCGTCCCCTCGCCACGCAGCCATCACTCCTTAGCCGCCCACCACCGTGACCACACCACGAGGACCAAGACCACGGCAACGACAATGACAGCGATGCTGACC